GAACAGCGTGAGGAAGTGCCGACAAATTTGCCAAACTCTAATTCATCTTCTGTAGATACTGAATGCCAACCAGCGTTTGCCTCAAATGACTGCGCAAATCATGAAGAATAATGCAGGTATCGATCTGCATGCGCTTTATAGCGATATGCTGAGATCTAAAATCCATTTTGGAGGCGTTTCCCTTCCATTAAACTTAAACTGCCATTTTATTCTTTTTCGACAGTGAAGGCAAAAAAGCCTGGATAAACTGTTTAGCTGTTTAAAAAAAAGAATTCAAGCCTTAGAGATAACAAAGACAGATTGGACACGCCACGTGAGAAATGGTGGACATATCTCTTTGTTCCTTGTGGCGAAAGCCATATTTATAAGTGTTCTATAAATAGGTCAGCCAGAGGAATGAACAGGTAAGGTCCTTTGACCTTGCGTTTGTAACAGACTTACCTATTGAAAGGCGTTGTAAAATAGTACCTAATAGTTACAATTATAACAGTTTGGTTTGCGATATTCATAGCAGTCAGCGGACTGAACTCATCTGACAAAAATATTGGGATTTCATTGCAGTTACAGAAAAACCTAGCTTGATAGAAATAACAACTTCCAAATAAACTTTGAAACTAATCGTAACAAATTATCACAATGTAAACTCAAGTTTTCAGCCGCTGTCCTACCTTGTAAATAATCTTCGTGAACTCCTTCAGAATCGTTGGCTGCCAATTTTGATCAGTGGTCTAAAAAGCATCGCGCAAGGAGTTAACGTTTTCTGTTGTTTAACGTGAACACCTGAAAAAACATTTCGTGTAGCGTTAAACCCAAGGCGAACGGTCTGTTCTTGTTCGTAAAATGATCTTCGTAGCGAACATGGATGTTTTTAATGATGATTTGTAGGTTGCGTATGATTTGTGCCACCAGTTTTTCGGTAAACGAGTCCGCCTGTTCCGGAGATGTCGATGTTTCTAAACATTTATACATTAAGAGTAGCAATAGTGTAGTCTTTTCATATCAGAAACAATATGACCGAATACGCGTTAAGTTGATAACTCGAGAGAGGAAATATGAGTCGATTTACAGAAATAGTCAATAAACAGAACTACGTTTTAAGTCACAACGTATGGAAATTGAGTAGTGAATTTTCCAGCAAACCTTCCATTAACTACGTAAGAAAGGCTGGCTTAGTAAAGAGAGGGGCATTGTAGCAATCGATCGATCGCAGATTCACATTCATTTAAATTCTCGAGTTTCGCCATTCTAATAAATGAGTACCGTCAATACGAGAAGAAAGCAGGAGGCTAATTACAACAATTACACTGCAGTGAAAACTGAGTTAATAAGCAACCCAATTCTAACTGACAGCGTCGAAGCAGAGATCAGAAACGCACTATAAACCTCAGAGAAGAAGGATAACTTCATAAACTCGAATACTGCATATAAGTGACAGATCCCTTCTCCATGGACAAAACAAACATGGGTCTGAAAGCATCTAAAGATGAAGAAATGCTGCGATGCGAATGGGATAAAAATGGGGGCGATCATATTCAATGATATACGCATACTGCATGATTATGGCTTTCTTGCCATTCTTCCACTGCACACAGACATTCAAGAAGAGACTTAGACATTGAAGGAACAAGAAAGTCACCAACATGGATCAGAATTCATGATAAATCTGTTGAGTGAAATATCGAGGAATTACATTGTTACCCATGTTAGGAAAGATATTTTCGCTTATCATCTGAAACGGCTTCGGCTGATGGCTGAATGACTTCTCTGGGTAATCATGGTCAAATAGTATTATGGTTGTGAGAAGTGCTCATGCTCCGCAATGTCATTTCGTTACGAAGAACCATGGAGCAATCCAAATTTATAAGAATATTCCACTTTTATCGACCTTTTGAAAAAGTGCCTCATAACCCCAGACGAAGTGCTATATTGTTGTGGGAAATATGGGGCGATGGCCAGGACAACAAATCGTTTCATGACTGCGCAGACAGCTCTTAGGCTTAACGGAAGTAAGTCAATGCCCATCAACATGGGTCATGTCTTACGCCAAGAACGTGTTGTTTCTCCGTCGGTTCATAATTTTCATGAACGAAATTAGCAGACGCTGCTTAGACACGGAAAACGCCACAACGACGCAAGACTAAGCGCTGTTTGCAGATGACACAGAAAGAAAAAATCTGCATTATACGCGGCCTATTACGCTTGATAACCAGGTATCATGTGGGTTATGGCGAAGTACAGCCACAAGAGGCGTTTGCATCGGACAGCATGGCCGTACACGACGTCCATTCTGGTATGACCAGGCCAGAATACCATGCTCTCCGCTGAAGCAATGCGAGGTCAGTTCCATGCTCAAGGGAACTCAGAGTCAAGACAAAGATTGCCCCCTTGAGGGAATTCAAACCCGGCACTTATGGAATTCAAACGACCTCTATGCTACTGTGCCAACCACGCCCCATGTCATTATCATCACCCTTTATTATTCCACTGTTGGATGAAGTCCTCCAAGATCTGGCAGCAAATTTCTGTTTTCTGCGTTGTAAGTCACCAATAAATTCCAATGATTTATCTGCTCATCTTTTCATCGACCTGGACGTCTTCCCGAGGGACGTTTACAGTCCCTTGAAATCCTGTCTAATAACAATCAATCACTCAATCAATCAATCAGACTGTGCTGCGTCGCTGCTATCAGCAAAATAGACCCTCATTAAACACAACAAATATAGGCAAAAGAAACAGATGCTTAAGGCTTAACATCATCATCATTATCTTCCATCGCCGCTTCTCCTTTCGGGTAGCGGAGGCAGACGCGTCAGAGTGCTTCCAACGTTCCCCATCCTGTGCCAGAGTCTGAGCTTCTGCAAAAGACAAATGCAGTCTGGAACAGATTCCTTCCATACATTTGCACAGATTAATCTTGGCCGTCCCCTGGGCTTTCTGCCAGTCGGTTTCGCAAGGAACAGTTGCTTAGCCTTCCTTTCTGGAAGTATTCGCAACAAGTGCCCAAACCAACATAGCTGCGACTTCTCGATCTGAAGAAGCAGAGGCTGTACACCAAGGTTTTCCAGAATGTCAGTATTCCGGACCATTCGAGACGTGTAAGGCAAGCGATTCGTCTAAGAAAGCCAATTTCATCAGCAGTCTGTACCGGGGTTCGAAGCCTTTCAGTCATGGTCCACAACTCATGACCGTAGGTAAGCGTGGGAATAATGATCAACTTGAATACCGAGAGCTACGTTTCCGGATTGAGCACTGCTTTAGTCACAATGGAGC